CCTAAAATCATCTGGGTGTCGGATAAAGGAAAGGTGTGGCTGCATCAAAGCCGTTTTCAGAATCGACTCACTTCTGCTTTCCCCCAGGCATGAGGGAAGAATACACCGTTTCTTTTGGAAGATACAATGTCTCATCTGGGCATTTCGGTCACCTCGTACATCAAATTTGACAAGTATTATCGGGAAGTGTTCTACTAATGAGCCGACGTCACAGCCACAGTTATATTTTAAAAATGTATTTTACTTTCTGAATGTTAAAGTTAATTTAATTCTTTAAGTTCATTTATCTTTATTTCTACCACATATTTTAAAAATTGAGTGCAAGTCAATTTAATCTCATCCCTCTGAGAAGGCTGTCACAACCTAATGTCAAAGAATCTGAGCCAAAATCAGAATATATTTTCAATTAAAAAAATGTTCTACCCTTCCTGTAAATGCGTGACATGAAAAATGTTTTCATGATGGTCGATGTGTGTGGAAGAGGATAATGTGTGTACAGTCCCAATTATGTCAACTAAAGACATATTGGAATTTGTTCAAAGCTCAAAAAATATCATTAATGCAGATTCTGACGACGAAAATTAATGAATAATTCAAATCTTGACCCCGCGTCATCCGAAATGAGGAACATCATGAAACTATACCCAGTTATTTAGACACACATTACAATGTTGAAATGAACAACAAAAAATTTTGTCTTTTTTTAGCATTAAATTGTCATCAAACTAACAATTTGATGACAATTTAATGCTAAAAAAAGGTAATACAAAGAAAAATAACTTATTATTTTCCAAAAACTCAGCAAATATTTTGTTTTTCAAAACCTTGACAATTTTACATTAAATTTTATTGTGAATATTTTGTTTCACTGATTTTTACTAAATTTGTGCATATATAAGAGGGTTATTTTTTAAGTAAGGTCCGTTGGCACGTAGAGTTCCCTAGTTCACGCGTACGCCGCAACGAGTCGCTGCTTCACTGACCAACATCCTTTACAAACACACTCGCGCCATTTCCAGCTCTGTAGCAGTCGTGTAAGCTTCACTGTGTATCGTTAAAACGTTTAAGGTGATTGAATCGCCCGCCAAGTGTGAGATATGGTCTGTTATCCGTTTTTTGACTGCGAGAAATATGTCGTTGGCAGACATTCATCGCCACGTAACAAAAGTTTATGACACTGAAGCAATGAGGGATAGTAAAGTTCGAAAATGGGCCAGGAAGTTTAAAGACGGGTGAACAAATGGCCATGACGAAGAACGCTCAGGCCGGCCCTCTGTAATCACTGATGATTTGATGCAAGCAGTTGAATCTATGTGACAAGCAAGACTGTGTTTGTGGTACCATTTCCTGTACCTCAAACTCAGTCTTAGCGGGAAAAGCTTCAGTGACAATGAAAAAGTGAAAGAGCTGCCGTGAACTCTTGGCTGTCCGACCAGGCGGCAGACTTTTTTGAAGAGGGTTTTCAAAACTTAGTTCTAAGGTATAACAAATGCATTAATAAACTCGGCAACTGTGTAGAAACATAGGCAAAAATGTGTACAATCCTAAAATAAAGGTTTTTTAAACAAAATATTGTCGTTATTTTTTTAAAAAAATAAACGGACCTTACTTAAAAGACCACCCTCGTACATATCTATGTAAGTAAAATATACTTTTAATAAACTTAATTTTGTTGAATATATGATTTTCTTTGCAATATCTTTTAATACTAAAAAATATTTCAGTCCCCTCATTTTCGTATTAAACAACTTTCTCTGTATGTTAAAATATGGCTACTTTTTACATAACAGGACAATCCGAATGCTATATTAATATTGGCACACTTTTCGGGATAAGAAACAATCATTTGTTAGAACATTTTTCTTCCTCAAAAACGTTCCGGATTAAGATTCTGTTCTCTAACATTAAACACAAAAAAAGAAGAAAAATACCATTTAAATTTTTAATAATTTTCCGAAAAAACACACAGAAAATATACTGCTTTTTTTTAAAGAAAAATGTATCTTATTTGATCATTTTTGATCCCGTAAGTGATTTTTAAGCTTGGAGTTATATATATATGTATATCTTTGCCTATTCGAAAAAAATATTTTTCAAAAGCCCAAATCAGTTTAAAGAACCCATCTTAAATGATGTGTGTGGTTGTCACATCTACAGATAAAATATTAGATAAAGTAACCACACAAAAAATGCGTATCTACGATACTAGAAAATGAAGCGAGATAAAAATATTTTTAAAACATAGATAACGACCAATTGCTTTATCATAGTTACAAGAGTTCAAAAATCAAAAAAAGTAGTTCTTTAAGCAGTTTCACTATATTATTTCGTGATTGAAAAATGTTGTTTACCGCAACTGAAATTAAAAAACTCGTGAATATCGAAATTTTTATCTTTCAAAAATAAAATTTTATTCGTGGGAAAGTAAAAGAAATATTTAACATTTCACTTATACATTTAAACTGAATTCAATAAAACATTTATAGCAGATTAATCATTTAAAAAAACTCTTTTCCACAAAAGACAGATTGTACGTGAAATAAATCAAAGAATTTTTAATGAATTTCAGACAATAAACAATAGGAGAAGAGAAATAAATAATCACATTGATTGTGGTTATTTATATCAAAAAAAAATTTGTTAGTAAAAGTTTAGTTCACTTATTTGGCGATGGAGAAAAAAGTGTTGCCAAATTGCGCCAATGACTCGTTTTTAAATTATTATCCAATATGGCAACAATCATCCGAGGAGTTAGCGATAAGGAAGTGGACTATAAAATAGGATCCACCCGATAGTAAGGCTGCAAAGATAGAGTTGACTTTATCCAATGAGTATGAGGAAGACATCTATATACTACACTACAAATTATTTCCCAGGGATTAAACTAATAATAAACGATCTTCGAAATGAGTCAGTAATCTGAGTTATTTTAGAAAGCCGTGTTGAAAGTCTATATTATGTGGGTATATTAAGTCAAACTAAGATAGATGACATGAAATAGAATCCAGAAATTTTTTGTACTATTTGTCAAGAATCATCCTCTTTATTTTGATTGAGGTACGAAATTATATTTTCAGCTGTCAGTAGCTGTGAGGCATAGGTCTAAACTACAAAAAGGGCTTCTAAATCAAACCAACAAAACCGTTACTCTAAATAATGATTATTTTTTTGTTTAATTAACGTCATACTAAACACAAACGAAGTTTACCTCCCAATTTAGAGCCATTCTCAAATGATGAAGACTACACCCCTAAGCCAGTGCTTCCCATTTCCAATCTCCACACACTACACCTTGTGATTCCCAGGTTCATTTAACCTACAACAGCCTCCTTTAGTTCACACAAGAAGCCTGCTTGGTTCTTCATTAACACTGCACTCGCCAAAAAAGATTTGGAGCGAAAAATCGGTCTTTCTTTAAAACCACCCAACAACACTCTAAATTTTTGCTATCAAAATTAACATTTTCTGTATATGAATACAGAGTATCTTACGCTATATAAGGTTATTGGTGACAAACCTCATAGTTTTGAATCATGGTTAAGGAAAGAAAGGACACCTAAGTCGAAATCTCACATTTCAAACCCCTGCACTACGGTCATGGTAGGACTTCCAAACTTAAAAGATTTATTATGTTTCAATCCCGCAACACGTTAAGTCTATTGAAATAACAACTTGAATACATGATTACATTAAAACAACGCTGATCACAAGGTGGCAGAATCACTCGGTTACCATAGCCCTAGAATGCACGTTAAAATCAGGACTCTAGCTCATTCTTTGACTCTAGCTAACCCGAAGTTCGACACCACGACGTGGCTGCGATGCCGAATGGTCAGGATTGTTAACTCGTTGGCGACATTGTCGAGTCATGCGTTAAAATTAGGGATGGCGATCTGAGATCGATTAATCGAAAAATCTATTTTTTAAATCGATATGTTGCACTGAATCGATTCAGTGAATCGATATTTCATCCTAGAAAATCGACATTTGATTTTTCTGTTATGGTAAAAACCATTAAAGTATTTACAATTAGTTGAATGTACTGTCTTTAAAAACTGTTATATTACGGTGTGTTGGCTGCTAAAGGGTTAATTATTCAAAAACTCGTAAAATGCCTGTGTGTTTAGTTTCCTTCGCTTCTCTTTAATAAATAAAAAAAAAAGTTAGCTTGTAACCTTTGACTTTTTGTATTTGTTGATATCGTGTCGTTTGCTTATGCCTTGATTGACTGACTGTTGTAATGTACGTGATTAGCGAAATAAATATTTATTTTATGTTTTGTTTGTATACGGAATAATAAGTAATTGAGAGAGGGGAAGTAAATCGCTGTATGTATCGTGGTATCATCTGTTCTTCCTTGTGAGCGCCTTGTTTCGATTGCCGGCAGCATCGTTAAGTGATGAGCGGAACCACTTGAATCCCTGTAGACTTGACAGACTGTTATTTTTAAAAGCTTAGATACTAAGCATTTTGAACTATAAGCTATATATATTATCTACTTTCTAAACTTTTTAATGTAGCAAATACATTTATAAAATAGATTTCTTTTATACCTAATACTTTGATATGGTACTAAAAATAATTGTAATTGTCGAATTCCCTGAACTAAAAAATTTCCCTGATTTTACTGATAAGAGATAGTTTATTATGGTATCTTTTGCTTGTTTTTCATAAAATTAAACATTGTATATGCAGACAAAAAAATCTATTTTTAGAAATCGATCTTTTAAACCTCGATTCTTTTGTGAATCTGTTCATCAGGTCACGATTCGAATCTATTTAAAAATCGATCTTTTTCGCGGAAAGAGTCACCATCCCTAGTTAAAATCCTGATGCCATTGAAGACACGTCTGTAAAGAAGCTGTTGCACATTAAACATGGGGAAGCTTAAAGTCCTTACTTTGTTGTGGAAATTTGAAGAGTGGAGATCTGGCTCAGTTGTCGTATTCATAACTTGTCCGAGACTGAAAATTACGACGACCATCGCCAGTAGCTGCTGCCCCACATAGTATGGTGGTTGTGACACTCGGCTTGTAATCGAGTGGGCACGGGTTCGAATCCCGTATGTGTCTTCGGGAAAAGAAGTCGACTTACACCTGAAATGGGTTCCCGTCTCGAAGGAAAAGCAGCTCATCCCTTTTGTTCTGTGCTGGGGTCATCGTTTGTAATACAATCCTATATTCTTCGATGTTTATATTGTATGTTTCTGTTCATCTACCCCTCGTCTTTCGTATGTATCCCAGTGTGAAACACACGACAAAAACCAGCGCTATTACTTTAAAGTGCGACTTTTATAATCATGACTATACTGTGGAATGTGCTACTTTCTAATTAAAAACCCCTTCAGAGGTATATCTCGTTCCACGGATCTAATGCGAATTTAATTAAGCAAGACACGGATATTTCTCCATTTCAGTAAATATACAAATAAAAAAAATTGAAAGCTTCTTTTTTAGAAATGTTACGAATTTAAGGAATCCGACTACGTTCGGAACCATGATTTTAAAAAGGCGCATAAATCGATAATTTTCATGATATTTAGTGTCACTTAGATTAGAATACATGTATAAAATTGTTTTAAGGACATTTTAGCAAAACAAATTATTTAAATACAATATTTCGGCAAAAAATTAACTTAGAATAACCTTTTTTTAAAATGTTATCCTTTTGTGAAAAATGCTTCTATTATCTAATCATATTTTGCCTGTATATAGCTCAGACCTCTGTACAGAGGCTCAACTATGATTTTTTTGAAAAATTTATATTATTTTTAGAGTTACCACCAATTGAAATATTGACCTGTCTTTTTTTCTTAAAATATCTCCACTCTGATATACTAAAACATGGATAAACCCACTTCTAAGTTATATATTTCAAACATTCTAGTTGAGCCTTCGGTACAGAGGTCTGAGCTATAAACAAGAAAAATATTATTACACAATATAAGCATTTTTCACAAAAGGAGAATATTTTGAAAATGGGTCATTCAATGTTCATTTTTTGTCAAAATATTGTACTTAAAAAGATTTTTTATTGTAATAATATTCTTAAAACAATTTTATATACATTTTCTAATCTAAATGACACTAAATATTATAAATATTAACCATTTATACGCTTTTGCAAAATCACAGTTTCGAAAGTAGTCGGATACCTTAAATAAGTGTACACAAAACCTATTTGTCACCTTTCAAATGCCTTTTGTGACTGTTACATTTATTCCTACATTTCTACAATTTAGTTTTCAATGAGAGACTTAAAAATAATTTAGGAGAAAACGTGTTTATTGTATACACACACAGTACTTGTAATTCTCTCTCTCCTTCTCTCTATTTACAATAGATAAAATCAAATTCTTTATTAATCGATACTGAATTCATTTTCCTCTCCAGATGCATCAGAGACATTCCTCTGTCACTCATAATATTCGGTTTGCCTTTGAAAGCCTGACCGATTCCTTTGAAAGACAAGTTAATTAAACTGTATTTGAATTGTTCAAAATCGAAATAAATCACTAACTATTTTCCCGGTATCAGTTCCTCTTTCTTTGTTATCGGAGCAGTGAAATCACTCATATTTCTCAATTCGTGCTATGATAGATGCTATTTTTGCTCGTTCGACTCTTAAAAGGAGTGCCAGGTATCGAAAAGAGGAATGATTTATAGGATTTAAATTGTATCCAGCTCGTATTGTTTGTTACTAGAAGATATTAATATTCATTGCAAGAGGAAACAAATATATCCTTGCTTTCAGGACGAAATGTTTATAATAGAATTCCTGAGAAAAAGAGTTCTCTATGCAAGACAAATTTTTCATGTTAACTCAATTCAAAAATACTGCTCCTTAAAGTGCACGATAGAGTTTGTTGGTGGTATAAACCGGTCAAACTGGGTACAAAATAGAGATAATTCACACATGCTGAGTTGTATTTTTATGCTACTTAATCTTTACACTCGGATATATAATTGAAAGACATAGATGCTTTCGTAGACTGATATATATGTATAGAAAAAAACTAAAAGATTGAAAAAAAATGTAGATTTCAGAAACAAATTAGTAGAAAAGACTTACACCGAAGCATCATGGCAGGTAAAATTTAAAAATCAGTAGACCCAAATTTTCTGGAATTCTACAATTAACGGAACATTATTGTCCCCATAAAAAAGGCTCATAGGTACTGCGCTGTGTGTTGTGCTAAAAGGAACGGCAAAAGAAAGAGAGTCGTTGCATGTGTCACAATTACAATGTTGAACTATATGCTGCACCCTTTGTTTTTTAATATATCAGACAAAAGTTTGAATAATCTTTTAAAATAAATTCTACTATTATTATATTTGAAAAGTATAAGTAAATATTTTTTACTCATAAAATATGTTCTTTTTTTTTTATTTTCAATTCCTACTATTAGTTCAAACTCTCCGTATATAAATTTATATATTGTGACGTCTTCGATTGGGGTGAACCTCACCCTTCTATTCATGCGAAATTTTATGGCTCCAAACAGACGTTAGGTGACAAGAGCACGCGTGGCCATGGGGTCATTGTTTATTGTCTGACCTCGGACAAACGCCAACATCGAGTCTGGAAGTTACAATATCCAAGAGGAGTCGATGACAATAAGGTCGACATATAGGCGAAGCCTGTATGAAAGAATCCTGTCGCCTCGGCCGGTGCCACGAAGGGAATGGGGTTATAAAACCCAGGTAATTGTGATGAACAAGGTGTTCAGAAGTTAGATAAAATTGCATGGCACCTTGGTTTCCCAGACAGACCAGAGATAATTTGTGTTTACCCGCACGAAATAGGAGACGAATGTGGCGGGGACGAGGGCAGATCTTTTTAGCCTGCCAATGAGAAAGACGAGGGCGTGTTATGGACCCGCCCCTGGTGTTTAAAGGGTTTGAGATGGAGCCCTGGAGTGAGACAGATAGAGAGCCCTGGAGGGAGACAGAGAGCCCTGGATGGAAAACTTGATGTAGAGTCTGGATGGAGAAACTGGAGAGGAGCCCTGAAAAGAAAGGATTAGCGAGTGCCTTTCCGGAAAAAAGTTGAACTCCGTGAAATAGACTGTCCGCCCGGCTTGGCATATTTATTGGACTTTTAGTAATCTATGAAGCAAAATAAAATACTGCTTTAATTTTAAAATGAGGCTGTGACAAATTTTCTTGTTTGCTATCTACTCACGACGTTACCTACAATATCTTGTTCAAATTTTAAATCGTTAGTAAAATACTTTTTATTCATCCACTCAAGTTCAAATACATTTTTCTTGTGGTGAATGACACTTGATGTTAATAGTTTTTTCAAATATTAATTCATTAATTAAGTTAAATTAATTAATTGTAATTTTAGAGATATATTTCAGTCGATATTATTCCTCTAGATGACAGCAGCATTGCATGAAAAAGCTTTTATTAAATTTGTGTTGAAGATTTAACTTAACCTGAATAATCATATGCTAGTTGGACGGTTTTAAGCTAAACTCTTACCTATTGTATTCAACTTTTATTAAAAAATGTAATTACAAATTTATGTGGTTAAAAATTTTTAATATTAATTTAAAAGTAGTTTTTCCATTTAATATTGTGATTCTGTCATATGTATGTACATATTTATATTAATTGTAATTATGTAGTAAAAAATAAATAAAATAAAACTTTTCTTTATTGACATAAGTAGAAATTGACTTTGAAAAAATTTATATTATTTGTTATAACAATTATTCAAAAAGAAAGATAATAAAAGTGGATGTACGTGCGACTTTGCAATATTCGATTGTTACCTGCAATTTGGATCGAAATCCAAAATTAAAATTAAAATTTTGATTGATGTATTTGTTTGGGCCAAAACAATGTTCTAAAACGTGTTTTCTTAAATTAAAAATTTGCCGAGTTTTTCAAAATAAATGTGAATAAAGGGGTTAATGAATACCATTTTAATGGTTGCAAAAATATGAGTCATTGATTCCACTAAAGAAATGGCTAACAAATGGTGAAAACTATAGCTCCTTTATATTTTTCACAAGACATTACGGGAAAGTTTTTAGTCGTGTGAGGTTCAACCTCAAATATCACCAATTCAACTGTCATCAGCAGAGATTTAGAATAGCAAGATTGGAGTCATCAATAGAATTGACTCGAATCATTCACGAAAATTTTATAGAATGAATTTAACGAAACAACTAAAGGAATCAGAGGAAACAATAATAAAAATAAAAATAGTGCAACTTGTGACGGGGCTTTATCGTGCCTTCTAACTAATTTTCTTGGGGAATCTTTGAGGTCAGAATGGCATTATTTCAATCCAATCCTCCCAAGAAGAAACCGCGATATGCAGATTATATATAGTGAATAGATATATAAGGGAGCTTTTGCATTCTCGAGTTAGTTGAATAGAAGTCTGATAGAAGTTGGATAGAAGCCGTATAGTAGATTGATTGATTGAATATTAACGTCGCACTGTTCAGCTACACGAGGGCTTTTGGCGACGGACCACGTAATTTTGAACCATGGTCAAGTGACGTGGACGACACCTGAGCTGGCACCCCCCCTCTAACTACCACACCACACCAACGGGAGGACGTTTCAGCTCTCGACAAGATTTAACGTGCATCGCTGCCCCTACGGCGTTCTTTAGTGGTACTGGGCTCAAACTCGTGACAAGGCAAGCCACGATCCGATACCTATACCACTCGGCTACCGCGGCCACACCGTATAGTAGAATAGAAGTTGGAGAGTAATAGAATGGAAGAATAATAATAGAAGAATAGAATACAAGAAGAGACAAAAAGCCGAGGTGCTGATCGCCGTGAGATATTGGTAAGAGATTAATTATAGAAGTGTAGTTATAGAACGGACTTTAGCTTATTAAGGAATATACAGTAGATAAACATTCTGAGGTTAATTTCTCATAAAGATAGTGAGTAGGATTTCAGGCGCTATTTACTTAGAATTGATAATTACGTAGTATCACTCCTGATTATATCCCTCTGGTAAGACTTGGGTTGCGTTGATCAATATATATATTTAGATATAATAAATTCGATTTATTATGGAGAATTTTAGTGATCAATCATTTA